ACAAAACCCCTAAATATCTAAATGATTTAACCTGTTCTATTTCTTTTCTTTCTATTCTCCACTGATTACACTTCCAGGCTTTGGAAAAGACCAATATTTTTGTTTTTATCAAAATTAATAGAAAGAGAATTCTGACTACAATAAGAGTTAAACTCTAATAAAAGGCGTATGTCCAATCCTAGTAAAAGAAAGAATGGCCGCATCATCTGCATAAAGTAAAATGGGAACTGCAGAAGAGTTCAATTTGGGGGAATGACCATCAATTTTAGCTAGGCACTGTGGGAGGTCAGAAATAAAAAGGTTGAAAAGGGAAGGGGCATGTACACATCCTTGTTTAACCCCCTTATTTACAGGAATTTTCTGAGTAAGAGACCTCTTCCTATCAAATTGAATCTGGCAATAGTTAGTCGAATGTAATTTACGGATCAAAAACAAAAGCCGTTGATCCATTCCCAAACTATAAAAGTTTATCCCATAGCAAGGATCTATTAACTGAATCAAAGGCTTTGCGTAGGTCGATAAAAGCTGAGTATAGCTTGCCACCTAAGTAACGGGAATACCTCTCAGCTAAAAAGGCTAAGGTAGTACAGTGGTCTAAGGTAGAGTGGTTAGCCGTGAACCCAATTTGCTCTTTTTCTGGAAGCTTACGATCCCGTGGATTCTGGTGCCTGTCCAAGTCCCATCGCAAACCAGATGATTTCCCCCTAAGCACATGCGCACAAACACTAAACTGGAAGCAGTGCTGCTCCGCAGAACTGTGCATGCACACAAACATGGAACGCTTGCCGCGCGGCTTCTTTACCAGCTCCAGCATCACTGTGTGATTGCGAGCTTCCTGCCACAGCGCAAAGACTCGGGAGACCGTGTGATCGAGCTAATGCGCTTTATTTTGTCCCGGGGCAAATAGCCATGCCTCACCCCCGCGTTATCTGGCTCGTGTGACCGGGGCCATAATAGGATACATAGATAGACTCCCATGTAGTCTAATGGCACACGCGCATTCTCATATTAGGAATTTTGCTTGCATCATTGAAACTCTTTTGGCTCCATTCAGAAGTACACAGAAGGTTTGACTAGGGACAGGTTTCAAATTTCCTTTGCTTCTTATCATAGGGGGAATCCAACAGCAGTGCACAGATGTGTATCAATATATAGATCTAGAGAGTGGCCAGGTGTTTTCCCAAGTACTTTGCTTTTGCTTAGATGCTTCAGTTATTTTGCATGAGGAGGGATGCTACATTTTTGCAACGAAAACCCACCCACCGTGAAATGTAGTATATCCGAGAGACCTAGTGACAGTTTACAATCAAATGTGCATGAAAGGCCCTCCAGTCTTAAAAAAGGAAAGGAAAAGGATATATAAGAGGCAAATTTTGGAACTGAGATATGAGTATTGAATTGAAGCCATTTTTTTAAAGGTGTTTGCATGTGACCTTGCATGGCTGGACATGGATTTGAATGTCTTGGTCCAAATCCAGCTAGAACACTATGCTGGTTCTTACTAATATAACATTCTCCAGTGGTCAGCTAGGGAGAAAGAGCTGCAGAATGCAGATCAAACTGGGAGGGGAAGTTGTATATCCCAGAGACCTCCTCATTCCCACCTGCAGACTGTATTGGAATTATTGGAGGAGGAAATAGACTGGCCTTACTATCCAGTTGTTAACCCCCCCTCCCCTTAGCTTCCACTGGCAACCAACTGAGCAGAGAGAACACAACAAGGGGACTTGGGCAGAGCAGATGAAGGGGTTCAGATCCAAAGCATATTGGTCTGTCCTACCCAGTGTTCCCTCTAAGCTGAGTTCGTGTGAGCTGGCTCACAGTTTTTTAGCCTCTGGCTCACACATTTTTGTCTTAGCTCAGGAAGGATGGCTCCAGAGCAAACTAATTTATGCAGTAGCCAAATCACTCACTCACAACTTGAATGTCAGTAGCTCACAAAGTAGAATTTTTGCTCACAAGACTCCACAGCTTAGAGGGAGCATTGGTCCTACCCTCATCATTATTTTCAAGAAAACTCTTTCCTTGGGCCTCAAGGCAGAACACGAGAACCATCAGATGACGTGAAAACAAAATTCAAGGAACTTGCTGAAACTCTGGGATTTGATGTGAACAAAATAATCTATGAAAACCTAGCAGGTAAGAGGAATTACTTCTGGATTTTATACCCAGTTTTCTGAGGGAAATAAAGACCTATGAAACGAGTGTAGATTCTCTTGGCCATATGAATAGCTGGCAGAAGGAGGGAGGAACTGGTCCTGCTAAGACAACTCTCCTTGATAAGAAAAGAACATCAAGATTTTCACACAGGCATGGTACAAGTTGCATAAAGCCAGGGGTCATTTCCTGCAGGAGCGCACAGGAGCAGAGCTCCGGCAGTAAAGAGGCCAGGGGGTGGGCACATGCAACAAGCCCCACAGCAGCCCTCAGTCAGAGCAAGAAACAGCCAGGTAAGTTGCAGAGCCCCCCCGCCCCCCAGTCCAAAACAGTCCAGTGACACCTTTAAGACCAAGTTTTATTCAGGTACAAGCTCTCCCTCCTCTGCGAGGACAGATCTGCACGTTCCCCCCCCCACACACACAATAGCTAGGAATCCAAAATAGTCCAGTGGAGCCTGAGCGGTGGGTGTTGCCTTCTGACACACGTCCGGTGATGTAAGGGTTGTGGTATATGCAAATAAGTTATGCTAATGAGCTCCTGCACCTCTTTTTCTACGAAATGACCCCTGCATAAAGCAATGTATAACTTCTCTATGGCTGCAATCATATGCACCTTTAGATCCGACATCGCTGCGAATACCTAATGGATCTAAAGGGCATGATCAGAGAGCAACATCTGAGAAATGTCCCGCAGTCATCGGCAACCTGTGCTGCTCAGCCACAGAAGTGGAGTTTTGACACCAGGGAAAGTCCGGCTTTAACTGGTTCCGACAGGCCACAGACGGACTTTCACCCGTCTGATTGTGCAAGCATGCTTTCATGCTGTCAGGATGGTCTGAACATTCCATCCCAGCTCAGTGCCGTCCCCCCCGCCTCACCGTATGTCCATCACCGCATACTCCATAGGGGGCCCTCAGTGTGGAGGTGCAATTCCTGGTTTATGCGCATGGGAGAGAAAGGACAAAAAGGAGCCGCTTGTGTCTGATCATACAGTCTGAACCCACACAAAGAGCTGTGTGATCGTGCAACTGTGTGTCAAATTCCTCCAGAGGAAATAGCCTTGCTTCCCCTCCGCTCCAACTGGCGCATGTCTTTTACAGTTCTTTTAATGTCTGGCAAGAAATCTTGCTCTAAGCTTAAGACAGCTTGTAGGTATGATAGGTATTAACTAATTGCAAACTTTGCCTCTTCTATTAATGGAGTATGATGATAGTACCGCCTACTATTCATGTCTATTTCTTCCTTCTTATGTATTTACACATCTTTTATATATGTGTAAAATAAAAATGTCAAAAAGGAAAGAAAAAGGCAGGGCTATTTTTGGACAGGAACGCACAGGAATGGAGTTCCGGCTGGCTCCTGAGCTGGCCACGCCCAGCAGGAACTCATTAGCATACTAGGCCACACCCAACAGCAGAAACTCATTAGGACTGGCTACATTAGGGGTGTGTGGCCTAACATGCAAAGGAGTTCCTGCTACAAAAAAGCCCTGGGTTTTGACAACAAACAAGGTAAACAGAATAACAAGCAAAAGGTGGGTGTGGCTGGATGACCACACTTCTGGTAACATGGGGGTGCGGCCTAATGTGCTAATGAGCTGTGCTCTCAGGGGTGTGTGGCCCAATATGCTAATGGGTTCCTGCTGTTGGGTGTGGCCTATTATGCTAATGAGTTCCTGCTGGGCTTTTTCTACAAAAAGAGCCCTGGAAAAAGGCATCTTATATGAGCGATATGTGGAGCCTATTCTTACACTGAAAAACTAAAGAGTTTGGAGGAATGCTGAGGGCCAAACTACACAATGTGTGTTTTGATGAGTCTGGTCTGGGTTTCATGGAACCAGCGTCCTTTCCCAGCAGCCATCCAGCAGTTGTGAGGAATGTTATTTTAAAAGCAGGAGATAGTCCAATTCAGCTCAGAACTGCTTCATGAAAGGAGTATGGGCTCCTGCCTTCCCTACCCCCCATGCCACTTTCCTGAGCCTAAACAGGTACAGTTGAAAGTTGTTTGCAGAACTTTGGAGCTGTGCGTGCAAGGAATACTTGGTATACAGCTCCAGTTTTATGCAAATAACTCCCTGTCAAGGCATTTTGGCTCAGTAAAGTGAGGGTGGGGAGGAAGGAACCCCTCCTCTACCCACACTGCAGTTCTGAGCTGAATTGAGTTCCTGCCAATTTCTAAAATGACATTCCCTGCAACTGCTCTGTGGTGAGTCCTTCCATCTGCACCTGACTTGCCACAAAAACATATCAAATAGTTTGGCCCTGAGGTAGCTGGGGATGAAGGCCACGCATTTCAAGATCCAATGCTGAAATGAAGCACTAAAGTTACCCTAGAGCCAGTAGGCGGGCACTGGTAGAAATCAGAGGAACTGGACTATTTGCTTGTGCCTCTTCAGGTACAAGTTTGCCTTGAGTTTAACACACCTCTGTCCTTACGGGCCCTGAACTGAGGAACACATCCTCTGGGTCCATATTTTGAGCAAGATTGTCTGGAGAAAAACAAAGACTCATTTCCTGCCCTTGAGATATCATTGTCCTGCACCCCAACAGCTTCATCTGTTATCCGAGTCTTGTGATGGGTGATTCATAAAATCTCTCCGGTAGCCATTTTTGTTTGCTTCCTAATGCTCATTTGGAAGGATACCTGGCTATGAATTGTGAACGGATGGGAAAACTTACTTCGGTGCCTGTTTCTTTGTTGACATCTGCAGATGAAGCTTTTTGCAGTATGACAATGGGAATATAATATTATAGATCAGTGGACAATTATGGGGTTCTATTTGCTGGGCCTAATCCCACATCTTGCTATGGTGACAGGATCTTTTTCCTTCCACAGAGTCATGCCCATAATGTTACTATGTATAGGTAAGTTCCCAGAAAGGCAGTGTGTTGGTAGAGAGTGAATCCTACACTCTACAACTGAGATCGTAAAAACCAGTAACAACAGGCCGCTATCACCTGAGAAGAAAAGTAACATCACCAAGATCATATGCGTTCTACAGATGTGATGGAATAAACTAATTAGAAATTCAGGAACCTTTTGGAATCATAATTGAACATGATCGTTGTAATTTTGAAATGTAACTATCAGGCCCGTTTTGATAGTTCTCACCAGAGAACTGGGAAGCAAGAATGGTGCTAGAAGAAAACTAACATAGCGATCCCCTCTTTTTGTAATCTACTTCTCAGCCTAACATGGGGTTCCTGAAGTGGCTTGCAGCACAATCGTATTCAGATCTGCTCAGAAATAATGCTACACACACCAACCTCTACAAATTAAAAAATTCCAAGAAAAATTCCAAGAAATTCCAAGAAAGATTCCAAAAAGAACATCCTTGGCCGAGTTCAGACTGGCAGTTTGGCCTGGCAGCCAAATGTTTCAGGAGCATTTCAGTAGCGGATTAAAGGGGCGGGTTCACACAGGTCTCTCCGGTAGCCATTTTTGTTTGCTTCCTAATGCTCATTTGGAAGGATACCTGGCTATGAATTTTGAATGGATGGGAAAACTTACTTCTGTGCCGGTTTCTTTGTTGACATCTGCAGATGAAGCTTTTTGCAGTATGACAATGGGAATATAATATTATAGATCAGTGGACAATTATGGGGTTCTATTTGCTGGGCCTAATCCCACATCTTGTTATGGTGACCAGATCTTTTTCCTTCCACAGAGTCATGCCCATAATGTTACTATGTATAGGTAAGTTCCCAGAAAGGCAGTGTGTTGGTAGAGAGTGAATCCTACAGTCTACAACTGAGATCGTAAAAACCAGTAACAACAGGCCGCTATCACCTGAGAAGAAAAGTAACATCACCAAGATCATATGTGTTCTACAGATGTGATGGAATAAACTAATTAGAAATTCAGGAACCTTTTGGAATCATAACTGAACATGATCGTTGTAATTTTGAAATGTAACTATCAGGCCCGTTTTGATAGTTCTCACCAGAGAACTGGGAAGCAAGAATGGTGCTAGAAGAAAACTAACATAGCGATCCCCTCTTTTTGTAATCTACTTCTCAGCCTAACATGGGGTTCCTGAAGTGGCTTGCAGCACAATCGTATTCAGATCTGCTCAGAAATAATGCTACACACAAATTAAATTTAAAAATTCCAAGAAAAATTCCAAGAAATTCCAAGAAAGATTCCAAAAAGAATATCCTTGGCCGGGTTCAGACTGGCAGTTTGGCCCGGCAGCCAAATGTTTCAGGAGCATTTCAGTAGCGGATTAAAGGGGCGGGTTCACACAGGCACATCTGTCAGGCGTCCCCCAGCCGCACTCAAGCCGTCTTGTGTCACTTCCCTCCCGAGTTTAAAAAGTACCAGGTGAAAGTGGTAGCAAACCGTGTGTAGAGCGGGTTGATTCTGGTTCCCTGACGTGTGAGCGCAAGTGCTGCTAAGGCCTGCAGTCGTTGATAATAGGCGCTGGCTGTTTCCGCGGCAGGCACCCATGCGCATTGGCACATGCATTGGAGCACAGAAACAGCTGCTAACAGCCCGCCAGGGGTGGGCCGACAGTGTGAATGCTTCCTTGCACTTCCTCCACGGTATCCTCCCGCTTCATTTGCTGCAGTGTGAACGGGAATACCGCGAACAAGCCGTTCCCGGTCTGTTCTGGGTCTTCATTGCCACGACTCCCTAGCACTTCAAACTGCCAGTCTGAACTCGGCCTTTGAATAGGAAAGACCAAAATATAACAAAAAGTGTGCAAGCTTCTGAGATTTCCAAAACCTTTCACAAAGCTGGATATTCCTGATGGAATAAAACAGAACAAACAAGGCAAAGGGGAGCAAAATAGATGTTTCCCGTCATGATGGAGAGACTCCCAGCCTGCAAATGGTGGAGTCTTAAGATGGGGGTTCAGAGCCACTCTCCAACACAGGCATCACTGTTTGCCCACAGCAGAATGCAGGGGATGGTCTGCAGTGGTGGCCAAACCACATCTGGGAGGAGTGCATCTTCCACGCATTACCGTCCTCCTCCTTGAGGAACCCATAATTAGTTTCCAAGGAACCACTTTATGTGCAATGATCTTGTGCACATGCCTGTAATTTGGAAGAAAGATGAAGAAGAGATCATGTTGCATTTTTCCTCTTATTAAGCATGCCAGCAAAAGTCTCTTTCACAATCCCATTCGTTCTTTGACAGGGAAATCAGAATTTGGAGGAATGTTTGTGGAATGCACAACCAGTATCATTAGCATCAAGGTCCTCCAGTGACCCTCACTGCAAACCGCCACATCTTCTGATTAGATCTCCTGCAATGGAGGCCTGGCCTCTGCCAAATGAATAAAAAGACCGAAAGAGTATTTCTCTGTTGAACCTTTATGTTTGTTTGGAAAATACACTACAACACCAGAATGAAATTTGCAAGAGTTCTTTCTTTCTGCTCACCTTCCTTCTTCCAATAAAGACTAGTAATGATGCCCAACAAACCTGTAGACCTACCCATTTTGACCTGAGTGACGTTAGCTTTAATGTTTGGAAGTGCCACATAGTCAATGTTGGTGGAAAATGTGATCAAGTCACAGCCAATTGTAACCCCTAGAGAATGGGTCCCCAACCTTCTGACACATGGGGGCCACATTAGAGTGCCCAGTGCCTTAAGAGGACCACGTCCTAATTCAAAATGTTACAAAGTTATTAACCTACCTATTTAGATCAAGAGTAAACATTCAAAGGCCAATGAGAAATGTTAACTTGAACACAATCCATTTTGGAACAATATTTTTCTGTGGAATCCTTTTATCTAGCTACACATGCTTACCCAGTTAGAGTGATTTTTGTGTCTGTTTTCTCATAGCCAAGGGATTAATGTCCAAGTCAAGGTTTGTGCCAGACACCCTTAAAATGTTATGTAAATGTTCATCTGTAAGTCTCGATCTACATTTGGATTTCACAATTTTTGTCTTGGAAAAAGTTTGTTCACAGATATATGTGGTACCAAAGACTGTGAGCATGCCAGCAGAAAATTTCTTTAGGTTGATAAATATATCAGGTAGACCAGAATAGAAATCTAACAGACTGTTTGCTTTATAAATTTTTCTGAGATGACCACTGACTTGCCAGTCAATTAGTTCCATCAGAAAAAAATTACTTGCCTCTTCTGGTGCTACTTCAAATGGATTCTGAAACATTCTTATTTCCTTTGCATGCTTATGGCAATCAGTGAATCTGTTCTGGAATTTCAGCTGTAATAGATTCAGTGCTTTGATGTGTCTTTCAACATTGAATTGTAAATTCCTGTCCTTATAAAAATTTAGTCTATTGCAGCATGAGAAGTTTGAAAAGTTACCTTCACTCATTTGCTTCTCAAAAATGTTTAGTTTTCCTCCAAAAGCTTTCAGTTCAGAATATATGTCACACACAATCTTTCCTTTTCCCTGCAACCTTAGATTCAATGTGTACAGATGCTCTGGGTTATCATTTCAATTCAATTCAAAACCTTTATTGGCATGGATCAGAGTCATAAACAGTCACCCTTCAGTTCATGGATTTTGAAGACTGTTTATGACTTTGGTTGCAAAAACATTAAGGACAATAATGAAATAGACTGAAAAAACATTTGAAGACTTTGCCTTTGCTAAGCCACCTGAATTCTGTATGGTACAATACATCTCCATATTTGCATCTATCTCTGAGAGAAAATTTTGAAACTGACAATGAGTAAGTCCATGATGCCTGATGTATTTAATTCTGGATACAACAATATGCATCACTTTCTCACTGAAGAATCTTACTACACAAGGCTTGCTGATGGATGATGCAGTGAAATTGTATGGGGGGTGTATTGTTGAATTTCAATATCTCTTCATTGATTCTTGAAACTACACCAGTTTTACTTCCTACCATATTTCTTGTACCATCAGTTGTGATGTTTTTCAATTTATCCTAACTCTGACTGAGATTTTCTACTGATTTACACATCTTCAAGAATGTTTTCTGCAGTTGTGGTGCCTTTCAAACTCTGCAGTGCACACAACTCTTCTGTAACTCTGAAGTTGAAATCTATCCCCCAGATAAAAACTAATCGTTGAGCAGTGCCTATAATATCATTGTTCTCATCTGATGCCAAAAAAGTCAAAACTTTTTGCCTTGGCAATCAGTGATATATGCAGCTCTTCTCCTAGTTCTTCAACATGCCTAACTTCTCCTAGTTCTTCAACATGCCTGGTGCTTGTAGATGCAGATAAACTAACACAAGATACCTTATAAGGGCACATTTCCTCCATTACTTTAACCATGAACTTTTTAACAAATTCACCATTAGTGAATGATCTACCACTCTCAGCAATACATTTAGCAACATGATAGCTGGCCCTCACAGTAGATAGGTTCTCCTCATTGTGCTTTCTATTTTGTTGCAAAAACATTGAATTTTTAAGAGACTTCATCTTGTTCACTCACACCTCTCCTTGATATATTGAGTAGCTCCTATGATTCAAAGTTCCTTTTAACATTATACTTTTTTATACCGAGATAGTTTCAAGACATATCAGACAAACTGCTTTATCCTTGTTTAAAACACAGAAGTACTCAGTAGTCCATTTGTCATTAAAGACACAGTATGCATCTGCAGTTTTTCATTTCTTTGAAACAGCACTTTCTTTTGCAGACATCTTACAGAATGTTTAGCAGAGCATCAGTGAGTTTCAATATGTTTCTGGAATAAATAAACATATGAGAATATCGTTTTAGAGACCTAACTCTTCCCTTTTCCATCAAATCCACTCCAAACTAGCTATTGCCTGGGAATTTTCATTTCAACCATGTTAAAGAAGAGGAAAGACTAGGGTTGCCAGGTGTCCCCTGACCACTTCGGGGGTGGGTGGGGATGGAAGGCGTGGGTTGCCAGATCCAGGTTGGGAAACTCCCAGATTTGGAGATAGAGCCTGTGCCGCAGAGGGACGTCAGTGTGGAACAACGTGGACGTCAGTGTGGAACAATGCGACATAGTCCACCTTCTAAATCAGCCATTTTCTGCTGCCCATATGTACAATTTATTCATGAATTCAACCAAAAACATTGAGGAGCGTTTGAAAGCTCCGAACCCCATAATTAAAATTTGGACCACCATAAATCATATACCCTCACATTCAGGGGACTCTCCACTTCAAGGGGACATATGCTCTTTCCTCATCCAATGTGCAGTTCTTGTGCCAGCTGCTCCAAAGGGGGGTGCTCCCAGGATAATCACACAGGCACACACTGGGGCCAGGCTGTACCCCAAAACAACCTTTGGACCACCCCAAATGACACATCCCCACACTCCAGAGACTGTCTCCTGCAAGATGACATACAGTGGTGCCTGGGCCAAACACTGGTTCTGGCACCACAAACCTTTATTTGGAGTGCCACCAAGAGGCTTGTATTTCAAAAAAAAATTTGAATTAGGGACTGGAACCACTGCATGCCCTCTGTACACCAAAATTAGGGTTGGGCCACCACATGTCATATACTCCCACATTCAGGGGACTCTTCTCTAAGGGGATATATGTTGTTTCCTGGTCCAAAGTACAGTTCTTGTGCCAGGAGCTCCAAAGTGGAGTGCCCCCAGGACAATCACACAGGCACACACTAGGTCCAAGCTGCACCCCAAAACAATCTTTGGACCATGCTGAATGACATCCCCACACTCTGAAGACTGTCCCCTGCAAGAGGACATACAGTGGTGCCCTGTCCAAACACTGGTTCTGACACCACAAGCTTCTATTTGTAGAGCCACCAAGAGGCCTGTCTTTCAATGAAGGTTTGAATAAGGAACTAGAACAACTGCATGCCATCTGCACCCCAAAATAAGGTTTGGACCACCACATGTCATACACTCCCACATTCAGGAGAATCTCCCCTTTGAAGCGACGTGGTGCTTCCTGGTCCAAAGCCCAGTTCATTTCCCAGGTGTTCCAAAGTGGAATGCCCCCAGGACAATCACACAGGTGGACACAAAGCAATCTTTGGACCACGCCAAATTAGAAATCCCCACTCTCTGGAGACTGTCCCCTGCAAGAATACATCCAGTGGTGCTTGGTCCAAACACTGGTTCTGGTACTTCAAGCTTCTGTTTGGAGTACCACCAAGATGACCATATTTCAAAGGAGTTTGGAATAAGGAACTGGAACAACTAGATGCCCTCTGCACCTCAAAATAAGATTTGGACTGCCACATGTCATGTACCCCCACATTTAGCAGAATCTTCCCTTCAAAGGGACATATGTTGTTTCCTTGTCCAAAGCTTCATTCTTGTCCCAGCTGCTCCAAAGTGGGGTACCCCCAGGACAATCACACAAGCAGACACTGTGGACACAGGCAGACACTATGGACAGGCTGCACTCCAAAACAATTTTTGGACCACCTCGAATGACACATCTCCAAAATCCGGAGAGTGAAAAGATAACACTGTTGACCCTAAAACACAATAGTTTAGACCTGGATCCTTCTGCACATTCTCCTCACTAGCTGACTGCTCCTTGGGTCTTTCAAGGCTCGCTTCCAAGAAAAGTCCTTGCACTCCCAAGGTGTGTAGAACAAGGATATATTCCAACCCGAGATGGCCTTGGCATACCTTGGTGACCACAACAGAAAAGCTATTGCTATCATAGGAGCTGCAATCAGACCAGGCACTGTCCAAGGAGAAGGACAGTTACGATTGCGGACAATAAACCTGCAGAAACCACAGCAAACATCTGAAAAGTGTATAAGTTCATGAAAGCTACTGGACTCTTACTCTTTTCTACTGCTACAGACAGACTAACGTGGCTACCCATCTTGATCTATCTCCACAGCAAACATCAGTGTTAGATTAATTGACTTTATATTTTTCATACCGTTTTCTTCAAAATGTTAGCCACATTGTTTTTTTAATAATCTTTTAATTAATTTTCCAAACAAAATGAAAACAAAAAGGAACATCAACAACTGGAAATAAATAGCCTTCCAAGTGGCGGAGAGTTTTGCACAGAACAATTAAAAAGTTAAAATAATTATGATTGACAGGCTGGACCTAGTATACCTAAGGCAAGGGAAACTATGGATCTTGGTCATTGCGCTATGATGTTTTCATACCAGAAGACATATTGGGACCACACTTCATTTCAAGTCAAGTCAAGTCACTTCATTTCATACATATTGATGTGATGGGCACCCCACTTTGGAGAAATGAGCACGAGAAGTGGGCTTTGGACCAGGAAACAACATATATCTTCTCAGAGGGAAGAGTCCCT